ACCCCTCGCTAAAAATAGAAAATTTTCCAGGTTATCAAGTGTGCTGAATACGAAAAAGCACTTTTCTTTAACTCTAAACAGACTTTAATTTTTTTTATCGGTGATATGATGTTTTATTCCTTACTCACGCTCGTGCTACGCCTGCCCCCTCTTCTTCTGCGAGTTACGTCATGTCACGCCGTGACAACCGTGACTTACTAGGACATTTATTAGGATAGTAAGGATTGTAGTCAATATAGAAAAGATCCCATGGGGACCATAGCGATTACTGGGTATTTGTTGTGCAACCTGAGAAAACCGTGATCCCGAATCTCGACTCTTATTTCACGAGTCTTACAGCTATGGCTGGATACGATCTTGCCGCGACGTCTGTAGATGTTCTCAAACTTGTCTTAAAACGTACAAACAAATGAGCAGTGTGAAGATCATTACGACATATTCTATTGAAAATTTCAAAATTTCGTTGCAGCGTAGAAAAGAGCTGTAAAAAGAGATGATCTTAAAACGCACAATAATTTAGGATACACGTCTTCAGTTAATCGTTAGTCTCATCGAAAAAAATATTGTATGCTGCTGTCCTCTAGACTGGACTACATAATAATTTTATTTTCGTGGTAGTATAGTAGTGAAGGTACGAAAAACAGAGACACTGGCAGGATATATCCAATGGTATTGATTCGTTGGATGACAACGTTTTGGAGTCGGCTTCTCTAATTCCTTATCTCAGTTCTAATCTATCATCCATTCATTCATTCATTCTTCATAAGTAATTTATCCGCATCACTTAACAGAATTTATCCGCTGAGCGTACGACTACGCTGTGTTTTTCTAGTCAAAGGGTATACGTATGCTACGGTCGTATTTCGTAAAGTGTACACGTTTCAAATCTAAAAACGAAAGCATCAGTTAGGCATCAGGAATTAGTGGTGAAAAATAGAAACTTTCTTTATACAGGTGTTTTTCCTAGAAAGTAACCTAGCAAATGCAAACAATTACAAATAGGGAAAAACATTACTGATCTTGTATAACAAGAAAAAAGTCTCTTTTCCTTTCTGATTACTCACATAAGGACAGTTAAAAAGGTTTTTCTTATTTTCTCTTAAATATAAAAAAAGTTCTATTAGAAAACAAAGCATAAACAGCGATACAAAAGCGTACAATGTACTCTCTGCTTTCCTCAGCAAAGTGTAAAACAGAGCGTATTTTTAAATTCTGAAGCGTATTTACGTTTTTATACAATGAGTACGCTTCGCTATTAGAAACACTGCTTCCGATAGTCGCAGAGAGATCTTTAAGAAGCAGAAAAAGGGTATAATTCTCTGTTTTCATTATAACGGTAAACCTGAAGTGAAATGGAACAGCTCAGCGATGGGTACTTCAAATTAAAATGTACCTCTACAACGATCAAGATATATAGAAAAAGTAGTTGTTTGTAATCAGTAAAATCTAGATGAGTTCTTGGATACAGGAGTAATCCGTTCGTGATATTTTAGTTTTCTGAAGTTATTTTGAATTCTTACTAACATCAAAGTATAAACACTAACAGTTGAATGTCGCAGATTTTCGAGCTCTTGAAAATTTGAAATTCATGAAGACTATTTCGTCGACGTTTGTACGTATTGGTTTTCAAAATGCCATATGTTTAATGTTGTGTGTTCATTGTTTAATTTCCTTAGTAGAACATGCCATTTGATAGACTTCTTGCTCGTGCTTTATGTGCTAAAACGAAGGATATATCAAATTACTCATTTCACATTAGGGTTCATCAGATAACACCGATTTAAATTATATTTATATAAAAAGAGAGAAAAGGTTTATCTAAGTTTTCTTTATTTATTTTGCTCGATTGCTTACTTCTTATCTCTTAAATGAAAAGAAGACACTCTTTTTCACGTAACATCAGAAAAATAAGATTTGTACAACAATTATGTTCTGTCGCTCAATAACAAATCATTTTATTATATTTCATAAGCATGTCTATTATAGGCAGATTAACAAATCGCGTTTTTCTTCAATGGCAAAAATCATTGATGGCAAAGAAATAGCCAAGTAAGTATTTTGATTATTCAGTCGGTAATTGAACATTTATCATTTTTGTTATCTCTTTAGAAAGCTAAGGGAGAAATGTGAAGCACAGGTGAAACAACTGATCGAAGATCATCCAGGGTTTTTACCTGGTTTTGGAGTTGTTCAGGTTTGTGGATAGAATTGTTTTTATGATGCATCACAGTCTCGTATCGATGGTCTGAAGTTGTTTGAGCAGATAACAGAAGACGTTGTAATCGATTTTAGAGCTCAGCAATAGACCTTTAAGGATGCAGTTCTTCCCTACGCTAGACCGTAATTCAGATTTGATATTTTTCTGTTTTAATGTTGCAGAAACTGTTCTAATTATAGGTCGGAAATAGAGAAGATTCAAATGTTTATATTCGTCATAAACTGAACGCAGCAAAAGAAATTGGTATTGATGCACGTTGTATTAAACTAGATTCTTCAATAACCGAACAACAAGTGAGATTTTCATATGAAAAAATGTTGAGTAATAACACTAATCAATTTATTTATTTTTGTATCTAGCTGATACATGAAATTGAAAAATTAAATAATGATCCATCGATACACGGGATTATCGTCCAACTTCCTTTAGATTCAAAGGAAACAATCGATACAAATCGAATAACAAATACCATTAGTAAAGATAAAGATATAGATGGGTAATTCGCATTTAATTAAAGATATTTCTAATAAGGTGTAAGAAAAGGTTAACATATTCAGAACCATAACGACTTGAACAATATTCTCAATCTATAGTGATATATTATATCAGGGTACAATTTTCATTTTAGACTGTCTGATTTAAATGCTGGTTTATTATCTCATGGTAATTTGAATGAATGTTTTTTACCTTGTACACCACATGGTTGTTTAGAGTTGATACGCTCGACAGGTATACACTTTAAAAATCACATACTATTTAATATTTTCTGTATTGTTTTTTTTTTTCTATAGGTACATCGATTGAAGGTCTTAATGCTGTTGTTGTTGGTCGTTCTAAAATTGTTGGTACACCGATGGCTGACCTATTAAAACATAATAATGCAACGGTTACCGTTTGTCATTCAAAAACAAAGAATATCGAGTCTATAGTAAATAATTAGAAAAAAAATCTAAGATTCTTAGAGAAATAACTTCTTCTATTTTAGTTAAAAAATGCTGATATTGTTGTTGCAGCTATTGGAAAACCGAATTATATTAATGGATCATCACTTAAACAGAATGCTATTGTAATTGATTGTGGAATAACGGCCGTTGAAGGTAAATTGATTTATCGGTGTATGCGTATGTCTTTTTTTTATAATATCAAATGTGATTAATTGTTTTAGTAAATGGAAAAACACGACTTATGGGAGATGTTGACTTTCAATCTTGTCAAAGTACTGCAGGTTATATTACACCCGTTCCAGGCGGTGTTGGTCCTATGACAGTCGCCATGTTGATGTTGAACACCGTTACCGCATCAAAGCGTTATTTGGACACTTATTCTCCTTCGCAATGGAAAACAATGACTTATCTACCGTTAGATATTAAAGAATCTGTACCATCTGATTTGGCAATAGCCAAAGCACAAATTCCTAAAGATATTCAAAAGCTTGCTCATGAAATACATTTACATAGCAACGAATTAGAAATGTATGGAACAAAAAAGGCTAAAATTAAATTGAATGTTCTTGATCGATTAAAAACATCGCCGAATGGAAAATATGTTGTATGTACTGGTATTACTCCAACACCCCTAGGTGAAGGGAAGAGTACAACAACACTTGGCTTATGTCAAGCTCTCGGAGCGCATTTGAAAAAAAATGTCATAAGTTGTTTACGTCAACCAAGTCAAGGGCCAACATTTGGTAAACTATATTTACATTTTTGTTCAAGTTCTAATGAATTCATTAACCCTTTCTATTTCAGGTATTAAAGGTGGAGCGGCAGGCGGAGGCTATTCGCAAGTGATTCCAATGGAAGAATTTAATTTACATTTAACAGGTGATATTCATGCCATTACAGCAGCGAATAATTTATTAGCCGCACAAATCGATGCAAGAATGTTTCATGAGAGTACTCAAAATGATCAAGCACTTTATAATCGACTTGTACCAAGTATCAATGGAAAACGTGAATTTTCTAATATTCAAATAGCACGTTTAAAAAAATTAAATATTAACAAAACGGATCCAAATACTTTAACAGAAGATGAATCAAAATTATTTTCACGATTAGACATTGATCAATCAACAATTACATTTCAACGTGTTGTTGATACAAATGATAGATTTTTAAGAAAAATAACAATTGGCCAAGCACCAACTGAAAAAAATTTTACTCGAACTACAGCATTTGATATCACCGTTGCTAGTGAAATTATGGCTGTATTAGCGTTAACAACTTCTTTACACGATATGAGAGAAAAATTAGGCAATATGGTTGTGGCTTCTAGTCATAATGGAACGCCCATAACGGCGGATGATCTAGTAAGTATCGTACATAAAAACAAGTACTGGTTTCGATAATATTTTTATCAGTTGAAGAATCTAATTTTTAATTATGAGTTTAAACATGCAAAAAAAAATAGTCAGATGGTTTCATAGTGGTAGTAAAGTATTTTTTCGACACGGTAGATTATCTTTGAAGAATTTCTTTCTCAAGCTTTGAAATTAATTATTTCATTGCTTAGTATAGTTGAAATGATTCGTTTATTGTTTCCTATTTCTTCCTCAGGGAGTTGGTGGTGCTTTGGCAGTCCTAATGCGAGATGCGAGTATGCATTTTTTCATTATTTCACACACATTCAACTAAATTTTTACTATTAATTTCTTTTTAGTAAAGCCAACGTTAATGCAAACGTTAGAAGGTAAAGAAAAACAACTATTTCAAGTTTCTGTAGTACCATGAACACAGTTTTTGATTAGTTATGATTATATTTTAAGGAACACCAGTATTAGTACATGCTGGACCATTTGCCAATATTGCTCATGGAAATTCATCTATATTAGCTGATCAAATTGCACTCAAATTAGTAGGAAAAGATGGATATATCGGTAATTGTTGATTTAACTATGTCAAAAAGTAAACAAATAATATAAAATATGACTGTTTTTTCCGTTATAGTAACGGAAGCCGGTTTTGGAGCAGACATTGGAATGGAAAAATTTTTCAATATCAAATGTCGATATTCTGGACTTATTCCAAATTGTGTCGTTTTGGTTGCTACAATGCGAGCTTTAAAATGTCATGGTGGTGGTCCTAAAGTTGAAGCTGGTTCACCATTACCACCCGAATATTGTACAGAGGTAAAATATACGAATATATTCCTACTATTTTAGAATAATTTTGTTTTTTCGTATAGAATTTAAAATTGCTGGAAGCTGGCTGCCAAAACTTAATAAAACAAATAGAAAATGCAAGTTTTTTTGGCGTTCCAGTTGTAGTTGCTATAAATCGATTTAAGTGGGTTTTAAATATTTTTTAAAATTTTTAAACGAACAAAAAACGAATTATTATGTTTTATTCAGAACGGATACAAATGCTGAAATTGAATTAGTTACACGTATTGCAAAAGAAAATGGCGCCTACGATGCTGTTATGGCAAATCATTGGGCTAAAGGTTAGTTGAAAATGAAATTGTATGATTATTAGTAATTTGATTTTTTGTTCTAGGTGGAGCGGGTGCTCTTGATTTAGCAAACGCTGTTGAAAAGGCATGTGCACAAGAAACAAATTTTAAATTTTTGTACGATGTTAAAGTAAGCTATTGTTTGTCTTCTTAAAAAAGACATTTTTACCAATATTTTCTACTTATTTTTATTCTAGTTACCTATTGAAGAAAAAATTCGTATTATTGCACAAAAAATATATGGTGCTGATGACATTCAATTATCTGAAGCGGCACAAAAACGTATTGATCTATTTAAAAAGCAAGGCTTTAATGATCTACCTATTTGTATGGCAAAAACACATTTATCATTGTCACATGATCCAAATTTAAAAGGATGTCCAAAAAATTTTGTTTTGCCAATTCGTGATATACGCGCAAGTGTTGGGGCAGGATTTTTGTATCCACTTGTTGGCGAGGTTTGTATTTTATATAATTTATTTTAATCAAATATCATATACATGTTTTTTTATGTAGATGATGACAATTCCTGGTTTACCTACGAGACCATGTTTTTATGATATTGATATTGATCCTGAAACTGAAGAAATATACGGACTATTTTGAAAGACAGTGTTCAGAAGATGTAGCGTAGTTTTCAATAGTGTCTTTCATTAATGATTCCATCAATGGTGAATTTTTTCATTTTAATAATTGTGAAAAAACATTTTCCAAAATATTCAGGCATATTTTCTAATTACATCTAGGTTTTTTTTTTTTGCTAGGTGATATCTATACCTGTGCAATAAATTATTGTATTCTTCGTCTTTCACTGAGTGTATGTTTTAATGTCTACATATGTTTGTTTTTCATTTATATTGGGATAGGTTTGTCATTTAGTTCAATCTTTTATTTTATAAATCAAAAACGCAATTCGAATTTGTTTGCTTTTTTTGCACTGTTAGCCGATATTTATGTCATTGTTCTACATATGCAATGGTACTCTGACCACCGTAATTTCCATCTTTCTCATGTTGCTATTAAAACTTTTTAAAATAAATCAAAAACAATACAGAATGACTGTTGAGCTACAAATGAGCATTGAAGTCAACTTAAATTGTATAATGAAACAAGTTGTGCATCATCTATCTATTGACAATACTTAATTTGCTTCGGCTATGATTATCAAGATTTTCTTCATCAGTTAAAGCGTTTGAATATCTTTCATCAATTTCGAGCAAGTTTGTTTGTTAATTCAATATTTTATATATCATCTCATTTCAGTTGTTTTATTTATTGAGTATGACAAAAATTGCTCTTTCTATCTTTATTCATTTTTTTAATCTTTGTTCTAGATACATATATTTTTTATATTTTAGTCACATCAAAAAAATTCATTCTTTTTTTAAAAACAGTTATTTTTTTTTTATGTTTATCTTTAATCGTCGTTTTTTTCTATAAAATATGAGCAGCGAAGAAGCTGAACTTAGTAAAACACTTGAAGATAGTAGTTTACAAACAGCTAAACGTGAACCATCACAAAACAAAGAAGTAGCTGATGTATTAAAAGCACAAGCAAATGAAGCATTTAAAAGTATATCTAATTGTTGACAGTGTCGAAAGTTTATAATTTGCAAAGAATTGATGTGTTTTAGAGGGTGATTATGAAACAGCCACAGATCTTTATACAAAAGCAATCGATATTCATCCTGATGCTATTTTATATTCAAATCGTAGTTTCTCCTATTTAAAACGTGAATATTATGGTTATGCATTATCCGATGCCAAAAAAGCGTTAGAATATGATTCAAAATATGTTAAAGTAAAGTTCTACGTCTATATTTGTGTTACAGTGTTTTTATTTTATGTCCATTCTAGGCTTATTATCGTCGTGCCTCAGCTCAAATGGCATTGGGAAAATATGCCAGTGCATTAAATGATTATGAATATGTATGTTATGCAATATTATTGTATCCTTCTCTTTTTTATATTGTTTTTCGTTTTATACAGGTGAAAAAAGTGTGTCCAAATGATAAAGATGCCGCTGTGAAATATGAAGAATGTAAGAAGATTGTTACTCGTATTCGATTTGAAAAGGCAATATCTGTTGACGAAACAAATACATCAGTATCCAGTCAAATTGATATTAATAGTATGCCAATTGAAAAAGAGTACGATGGACCACAACTAGATGCAAATGGTCAAGTTACAAAAGACTTTATGATGATATTATTATCTTATTTTGAAAATGAAAAAAAACTTCATAAACGGTTTGCCTATCAAGTATGTCATTTTTGTTGAATTTTATAACTTAATTGACTAATTATTTCATGCATTTTTTTGTTGTTGTTTAGATCCTTTTACAAATATTAACATTGTTTAAAAGTTTACCATCATTGATTGAAATTAACGTTCTACCGAAAAAGAAATTTACAATATGTGGTGATATTCATGGTGAGAACGATAAATAATTTATATTTACTTCTATATAATATTATCCAACTTTTTAATCTTAGGACAGTTTTATGATTTACTTAATATATTTAAACTTAATGGACCACCAAGTGACGATAATCCTTATGTATCCTTTAATTAAAATTCTATCTAATGCAAGCAATTGTAAAACAAAAGTCTTTTTTATTCTTCTTAACATAATACTTTTCTCGTAGCTATTCAATGGTGATTTTGTTGATCGGTAAGAGTCACAACATATTCTCGATGTGTATAAAAATATATCTCAATTTTCTATTTTATTTGTTCTTCTAGAGGATCATTCTCCATCGAATGTATATTCACATTATTTGGATTTAAACTTTTATATCCTAATCATTTTTTTCTTGCACGAGGTAAACTTCATTCATTTTAAAACATGTGAGACTTATTTCTATAGATTAAATACTTCCGAATAGCTAAATTATAGTATCTATTCGGCTCGTAACTCTGGTATCGTAGTGTGAGTCCATCATGATTATTTTGCGTTTTCTTTCTCTTACAGTTTTCTAACAAAAACATGTGCAGATTTCTGGAGTATCTTAAATTGAAGAGAAAAGTGTACTGAATATTTTGAGGTGTTCACACAATCTACACATTCTTTTCTTTACGGAAAATAAGAAAAATACAATCTACTAATTTGCAAAAACTTATCCGAAAAACTAGTAGTTTGTGTTGTTTGGTATAAACAATTGAGAACATCATTATCTCAATCTTTGTTACTCAAGAAACAGTCTCGTGTTAGTGTCCCATTCATGTTGTTTTGAAATACATGGACACGTGATTTGCTCACTCTTCAAATATTTTTTGCTCTTAGGAAATCACGAATCGTTAACAATGAATCAAATGTAAGTAAAACTCTCATGTTTGTTTTTTTTGGCTTTTCAACAAAATCAAATTCGTTTCGATTGTAGGTACGGCTTCGAAGGAGAAGTGAAAGCAAAGTATCCTTGATGAAAATAAGTGCATCCACTTCATCAAATCTATATTTTTGTTTCTTTCTTAACATTACTATATGTATTCTGCCCAAATGTTTCAATTATTTACTGAAGTATTTAATTATCTTCCATTGTGTCATTGTATAAATAATAAAGTTTTGGTGTGTATATACTCTGATTATTCTAAATAGAAATGAAAAAATATCTGTTTTAAATTTCATTAGGTTATGCATGGTGGATTGTTTAGTAAAGATGATGTTACATTAAAAGATATAAAAGAAATTGATCGTGTACGTCAACCACCGGATGATGGTAAAAATTACTTGATATAATGTTAATCTCGATGCCATTTGTTCTCTCGAATTTTTAGGTCTAATGTCTGAATTACTTTGGTCAGATCCACAGCCGCAGAATGGAAGATCCGAGAGTAAACGTGGCGTTGGTTAGTCTTATTTTATTCCTAAAAAATATAAATTATTTATAATTTGAATTATTTTTTTTTCAAAAACATAAAAAAGGTCTTCAATTTGGACCTGATGTTACAGAAAAATTTATCAAAATGAATAATTTGGAATATGTTGTTCGAAGTCACGAAGTGAAACAAGAAGGTTATGAATTGGCACATAATAATAAATGTATTACAGTGTTTAGTGCTCCAAATTATTGTGATACTATGGGTAACAAAGGTATGAATGAATATTGTATGAATTAAGAAAAAATATGTTTATCTAATGAGTTATTCTTAGGAGCGTATATTACAATCTTTGGCGATAATGTTACTCCTCAATTTACCAGTTATACAGCTGTTGAACATCCAAAAGTTCGTCCAATGGCATTTGCTAATAATCTGTCAATGTTTGGTCTCATGTAACATTTTTTTTTTTTGTTTTCTTTTTATATTAAAAATTGTCTGTTCTTTTTTTTCTTCTTCATCTACTGAATGAACATAAACAAGAAAAAAAGAGAATTAATATGTAGTCCGGTGAAATAAAAAACAAAAATTATACGGTGAGAAAAATCATGCGTGGATGGGATGATTTTCTTTTTTATACTTTTATACAAGCACTATAAATGAACATCAAATAAGTCTCAACATTTCTAGTTGTTTCTGTGTGTGTGTATCTCTTTCGTTCAAAAACATTAGCTGTGATTCTTCATTGTTTGTTGTGTTTTATTTGTTTTGACTTATATACGCGTATAAATGTCCACACATTTATTCAATACGAACATGGTTGACCATCGTTTCGTTTTTTTTTCTTACTTTACTAATTTGATTTAGATTTTACATTTTTTTTTTTTATAGGAAAATTATCAATTGCTGCTTGTTATAGTTCTTCTTCTACAAATCGAATCTCTATGAAATAAAAGTTTATACTAGCTTTAAGTTTGACATTTGCTTTTTTTTTGTAATATTCTGGTTTTACTATGATCTTTGAGTAAAAAACAAAAAGAAAACAGTATATTACGGGCTAGTGTACTATCGTAGTTAAGATATGATAATATTCTGATTTGTTTGTAGCACAAATTAATAAATTGGTCAACGATAGAACGAAATAAATTTCATTACATGATGTTCTCGTGTTCAAAACAGTTATAATAAAAAAATAAATACAAAACGTTATTATGAATGTTATAAAAATAAAAAATAAAAAATGGACGAAATCGATGTACTGTTCAGAACTATGTATAGAAAAAAACAAAAAAATGAAAAAACAAACAATACAATTTGACATGTAAAACAAGTGAAAAAAAGTATATATTTAAAATGAGAAAAAACACAAAGATTTTAAAAAGCACCAAAATTCAGTGTTTCTTCTTATCTATTATACAAATAAAATTTATGAACAGTTTAATAAAATTCATTTATATTAAAAAAAAAATACGAATATTTTTAAATTATGAATTAATCGGCATATTTCATTGTTGGTATTTTTTCACCTGCTTTTCCAGTTAAATTTGCTGGTAAATCATCGACAGCATACTGTATTTCAGAATATAACGATAAATTTTCTTCTTCATGTAACATTCTCTCATTTTGTTCAATTATTAATTTATCATGATCCATTTGTTCATGTCTATAGTCTTCAACATTTTTTAACCATGTAAAAATTCTTAATAATTTTTGATGATCAATATCAAATTCAAATAATGTATCTTCTAATGTTGATAAATGTCTACTAGCAATAAATGCCAAATATAAACTTCCAGAATTTGAATTTGGATTATTGTTGTTATTATTATTCTCTTTATGAGATGAATGATGATGTTTAAATGACTGAGCACTATTTAATAGACCAACACTTCCGTTAGTAATATTATTTACGGATAAAAGATTTGAACTAGTTGGTGGTTGAATGTAGCCACGTTCTGTAGTATGTGGATGACGTAATTGAACAAGATGTTGATTAACAGGTGATTGACGATGACGATTATATGGTGATGATGGTTGTGATGGTTGTTGTTGTTGAGAAAATTGAAATGGTGATTTTGAACGATCGCCACGCCTTGAATTTGTTATCGTTGCATCACGTGAATAGGATGAATGAGGATTATTCATATCATGTATTAAATTTGAATCAGCTGATAAACGAAGTGCTTGTAATCGTTGTTGAATTTCAGCTTCAGATGATACACGACGAACGTTTGTTGGTCCACTCATATGGTGTGGTGATGCTCGATTTGTTGTTTGCTTACGAGAATGTTGATAAGAGGGAGTTATCACGTATTGTTGTTGACCGTGTGGTGATGTTGTATGAATAGATAGTCCGGTACTAATCGTATTTGATACCATTCCATTTAATGCTTGAGTGGCTTCTTCACTTCGACGACGAAGTTTATCAATTTTTTGTTTAATAGGAGCTTTAACAGTATTATTAGTTCGACGTTGGTATAATTGACCTTAAATAAATGAAATTGTCATAGATAGACAATTTAATCTTTCTGTACTTTATTTTTACCTTGATTTGATTTCTCTTTCGATATTTCGACTACTTTTGTTTGCAGTGATTGCTGTTGTTGCTGTTGCTGTAGTTGTTGTTGTTGCTGCTGTTTTTGTTGTTGGGTATCTCCTGAACTACTCGAAAATCGAATATCTACTCCACTATCATTATTATTTCCATTATTATTTTTAATTGTAGCAGATTTTTGTTGTGCTTTTGTCGAAGAATATTTTGCACTTTCATTACTTTTCCGTCTAAGACGATTGTTTCCAATAAATTCATCATCATCTTCTTCATTATTATTATCCATTTGTTGATGATAATCAAAATTTTCTGTTGAATGTTGTTTAAGTGTATTAAATATGGATGATATGGATGCTTGACGAGATACATTACCCCTTGTACCAAGACGAGTACTTTTTGGACTAGCTGTAATAGGCGTTTTTGATCGTGAACGTGACCGTGATTGTCCATTACTTATAACTGATTGATGATCACTTGTATCCTTAATCGATGGTAAACGTGTTTCAGGATTTATTTTATTTACAAATATATGTGATCGACGTGCCAAATTTGAGGATGTCTTTCTCGTACCAGACACATGAAGTTCAGCAGTTGTTTCAGCAACAGCTAAAAAAAATGGAAATTAAAATTTAAAATTGAGTTTGTCGAAATTCTATGTTACAATCGATGTTTATTGTTTTATTATCATCATAAAACCCATCTATTATTTTTATTCATAAAAAATAGAATCATTTGTTTATTAATTAGAATAAACTATGGGAATTATTAATACAATTAGATAATTTACAACGTGATCAATGAATTATTACGTAGTCATTTCTTTTTTATCGTATTTAACACATCTTTGAATAGACAATCGAATTAATTTTACTTACTAAAAAATTTTGTACAAAAACGATGAAGTTGAACTTGATTATTATTTGTTTCCATAATAAATGTCATTCTCTCTTTGATGTCGTTTAATTTATTTAAATTTGTAAATTCTCCATAACAATGTTGACGTTTTGCCATTTTATGTTGTCTCATTTTGTCTTACGGAAAAAGTTGAATATCATCTATGAAACTCATCACTTTTTTTCTTTTTCTTTTTATAAAAAAGAAAATTTATTCCTCAATTTCATTTTTAAAAATTTTCATCACAACAGAATATAGTGCGAATACAAACAATAACATAATAATATAATATAATAATACATATAATAATCAGATGTGTGTGTTGAGTTTTGCAATCAATAATGCCAGAATTCAAAAGGTTTCTCACACTTAAAATTTTGAATTTGGACGCTGCTTTCAATACTATACTATTTGCTTGTTCGAAACAATTTCTATTTGTTTTAGTATTTAAATTTTGAGTTTATTCTCTATCAGAGTTGATCCAACTACTTATAATAGTACATTTTCATCATTCATAATATAGAGAACGTCAAGTTCATTATCTGTTTAGTATATTCTTGATAACAACATTTTATTTGATCGAATTTTAAATTAATTATCAAATACATGTTAATCAATCGATTTTTCTCTTTTTTTTTTGTTTTCTTCTCCTTATCAATATTATTTTTGTGTCTGTTTATTTTACTGTCTTAAAAATTCATTCTTTTCTCAGTAACATGAACTACGTACACAAGAGTTTTGTCGTTTATGTTTGATCTGAATGTAACTCTCGCTCTTCTTTCTTCACATTGTTTCCAAGGAAAAAATAAAGGTTCAACTGAGCCTAAATTTATACCAGAGATAGGACATCAAACAAGAAAATCAATGTATTTTTACTCAGATATTGGTATGGTTTTCTAGAAAACTAATTTATCACCTGATTATAGCACATCTTTAAAATTTTATACGATTGGACTGAGTATGTATTTTTTGTAGCTGCAACGATTGAACAGTTGTAAGATAATAACAATGAGTGATTCGTTTTCTTTATATTTTATTAACCTGACCGGTTTCGAATTCTCTTTAGAGGTTAACAAAAAACTGTATGAAATCTAGGTTGGTTATTATCTCACAACCGTTCAACCGTTGCAGCTACAAAAAATACATACTCTGTCATTTTGTACGATTGGACTGAAAATTTTACCATAGACATTTGAAACGGTATGTAAGGTGCCGGTAATTCAAAAGATAAGCAAAATTTTTTTTTGATCATTAGATCGAGCTCATCGAGTTACCTAGAAAAAATTGAAAAGTAGATTTTCGAAAGTCTTTTTTGATTTAAAAAATTTTAAAATATTGATTTTTTAAAAATGGGCAAAATACAGCAAAATTTTTAAAAAAAAGCAAAATTTCAGGATTTATTGTCTTTTTAAAATTTCGGTACTATCTTTTTCTGATTTTACATACAAAATTGAATATAAAAAGTAATTCAGATACTTTTAGAACCTGATTGGCCGACTGGAATCGCTAAAGACCGGGCAGAACAGCTGGAACCCCATCCGAACTTCTTGTAAACCTATCTAGTATTTTTGGTTAGCAGTTAGGCAGTTTTTTTTTTCTTTATTTTAAGTCATCACACTTGTGAGAAAAAAAGTTAGTATCGGTTTTGGAAAATATTGTTCCGTTCTTGAGAAAATTAATTTTCTTGAAACAGGTAGCAAAAAACAAGAAAATTCACTTATATTTTGCAGTTTTCACTGTCAAATTTTCATTTTTTTGCAAAACCAATGTCATATTTGGAAATTTGACAGTGAAAACTGCAAAATATAAGTGAATTTTCTTGTTTTTTGCTACCTGTTTC